CAAGCATGATGTCCCTCTCCAAGGACCCGTCCCTCCTGGCAACATGTCCAAAGTATGTCAGACGAAGCCCCAGAATCCTTGCCTCCAAGGAGTAGCTTGATTTAATCCTCTCCAAGAGGAATCTGTTTTCCTGGCAGTCCAAGGTATATACTCCCTGTTTATCTCTCACAACAGTCTAATCAAACAGGTATAAACATTATTCTCCATTTATAATGAGGACACTGGACACCCAGAGACTGACTAACTTGCCTAAGATATTATGATCAGTAGTAAGTGATAGGACGGAAATGAAAGCACAGCAGTGTGGCTCCAGAATCTATACCCGTAAGTCTTGGTTTTGTTCCTTCCAAACTGGCCAGACATCTTTTTCTTCTCTTCCCTGGATTCCCCAGCAAGGATGCACTTACTAGCTGTGCCCCCTAAGGCGGCATGCTGCAACTCTCGTTCCCTCCTGTCCAGCTCCTCTGCCTTCCGGTTGAGCTCTTCCTGCTTTTTCAACAACTCAGCTGTGGCTGCTGCAGCTGAGGCCTGTCCCATGTAAGCAGAGGGACTGGTCAATATTGAGCTCCAAAACAACCCCTTTCCTCAGCCTTACCCTTGGATTTTCTGTACCTGAGTGCTGTAGGAGCCATAGTTCTTGGGTTCTGTGGGGCTGAGCTTTTTTGAAGGCTGCACGGAAGGAGCTGACGGTGGAGGCATTGTGGCAGAGGCAGGAGGCTGATAGGCTGGTGGTGGCTGTTGGTTCGGAAAAGATCTTAGCGAGCATCAGGTTCCCCATATTCCCAAGAACCTACAATCTGCTTGTATGCCAACATATTCAGAACTCGTTACCTAAGGCATCAAGCAGCTTCCCCATCCCTCCCAGAAGAGTTGTTAGAAAGTTAGTTCTTGTGTCAAATTGATGTTGGAGGACTCACTGACGACCTGTGACAGCATTCGTTAGTCTGCATTCCCATCCAATTTTTTTCCCCAAGGATTCAAAGCATTCATCTACCATAGTCTCTTAACTAAAATTTTGACTATTCCCTATCCCCATGAGACAAACAGGTCTAGTTTTCTTGTCTTCTATCTGCATTTTTGACACAGCCAGTTTTTTTCCTTTAATGCGCTCCCCCCAAAAGAACCTTTGGTCCACCCTCTGCCACCTCCTAGTTCTAACTTGAAGATCCCAAGTTGGATAGATAGTTGGCCCTGATGTCTCTACAAGAACAAGACAAGCCATGGTAGATGAGACTCTCAGGGAGCTGAGATCACAGGACTGCCTCCTTCCTCTGCATGCAGCAAGCCCAAGCTCAGGCTAGGCTGTCTGGTTCACCCTCCCCTCCCTTGCGTTCTTATGTTCTTCAGAAACTCACCTCCCGGGTTTCAAAAGGGTTGTAGACGTCAAGCGTGGCATACTGCTGGATGGGTCTGTGCTGGATCACAGCTGGGTCCTGAGGGTAAAGACCTGGGGCTCAGTTGTCATCAGGTCCGTTCTGGGGGAATCCCCAGAGATCCTTCTAAATTGCTCATGGTTCCAAGCATTGCACTTTAGGAGCTATACTTTTGCTTAGCCATTTACCCCAAATTGTTTGTTCCATAGTACCAGTATACTTTGGGATTATCCCCTAAGGTGTTCACTGCTCTGGTGTCACCCTCCCCTTTACCCCCATGTGGTGGCCCCTCGCTGGATCAGATGTCAATAATGAAAACACAAGTTAGCCGGATCCTCTAGAACTGAGATGAGCTAACCTAACTGCTCCAAAGCCAGTACAATTCACCTGAAAAGGGTTATCGAGCTCGCTGGACTCGGCGAACGGATTCCCGCCGTCTCGGTTCTGAGCCATGATTGCAATCGCGGCCTTAGCCGCCTGCAGCCCTCCACGCCCCTGGCGCGGCAGCGGCGGCGGAGGAACCCTCGGCTCCTTAGTCCGCCCCGCTCCTCTGTGCACGGATTGGCTGTCCAGGCCGGAAGGACCACAGGATCCCTGCAGCCTCAGCAGGTTGCGCTTGCGTCTTGGATAAACCTAAAGACGGAAGTGTCTCACGTGACACCTCTAACTCAGCAAGTCAAGCACGGCCCCTCCCCCCACATGACTTTGCTCTGCTAACGAACTACACTTCCCAGCAGTCCCCTCGCACCAGACTGCCAAGCCGCTTGAGTATCCAGAGATGCATCCGGAGTTACAGGGGTAGGGAAAATTGTGAAGGGTTGGAACGCATTTCCTGGAACTCAGCTGTGTGAGAATTTTATTTTTTTAACATTTTTAGTTTTATCATGAGGCCCAGCCTAATGCCTATATAATTAAGACTTCTTTTCCAAAACTCATTCTAGGTCATAGATGAGACATAACTCTTCTCTATTACAAACTTTGGTGTATCACTGTCCTCTCAAATCACAACATGGAAATATAAACCTGGTGACGTAGTTCTGGTTAATTTAGGAAAGTAATAAATTCCCTCAGACCCAAACTGAGAGTTCCAATCTTCTCAACCCTCCACCCCAACACACCCAAACCTTAAACTCCAGGGATGGGGTCAGAGGAAGCACGTCATTTTATTTCACAAAGACTGTACAAAATTCCTTATAAAACACTGGGTAGGTGCCACCTGATTACCTCATTCTGTCCCTATCCAACTTCATGTAAAGGGGCAGATGAGGGTGGGATGGAATGATATGTACAAGGCAGGGTGTGGGCGATAGGTACAAGTTCTGTCATATTTACACTATTTCACATATTCACAGATGTGGAGGAGCCAGGAAGAACGAGTGAGCTCCGGCTCTGTACTCGTATATAAAAAAGCACCAGTGTCCTGGACTGGGCACCCACTGCTCTAAAAGATGCAGGGGGACCCAGGACCCGATCGTCACCGACTGATATCCCGACTGGAGTCCCACAACTTGGCATTGGGTGGCTCAGCCCGAAGTCGCGAGAAGAAAGGATGCTGAAGGGCTTCACCCAAGGTCAGCCGCTTAGCAGGTTCATACTCTAGCATGCTTTCAATCAGATCGAAGAGCTGGTGGTGTTCCTCTGCCTCTGAGGTCAGATATCGCTGGTGGTGGAGGGCAGGAAATAGGTGAGCTGGTGTCCTACAAACCTTGCCTTCTTCAAGGCCTCAGCTGTCCATCTTGGAGAATCAAGGCTCTGCTTGCAGCCATTTTGAATTTTAACTTTACCTCAACTATACAAGACTTCAGATATCACAGCTCAACCTACCTTTTCACTCATAAAATTACTCTCATACTCTCTGCAAGTTCTACTTGTACATCCTTGACAATTTCATGAATCTTCTTTAGCTCATTAACAAGTAAACTCTTCAAAAGGAGTTTGTTTTCAGTCTAAACTAAGTAATGCAGGCTATCGTTTTGATCTTGTTAGTTCATGAAAAGATGGGGCTATCTAATCTTCTCTCCACAGAAACACTGCTGCTCATCTTCTGACTACTGACGTCTTCTGTTTTACTTCCCCTCCTTTCCAAATTTCACACACATGACAAGCCCCTTCAAGGAGGAATAGGTATCTAATGGGCGGGCACTATTTCTTCCCAGCCCTGCTCACCTGCAGTGGTTTGCAGTTCTCTCGAACATAACGCCCAGCTGATGTGTTCTCATCCCAATCAAGGCGACCCCGGTAAAAATACTTCTGCTTCCTAGAGGCAAAGGGGAGGTTGAGGAATCAGGAAGTTCCTCTTTTTGTGAGAGAATTCTTTTATGCCCGATTTGACAATAGCTTGGTTGGGGGTAGGGAGTCTCAAAGAAAAAAAAATGTGTGAAATAGATGAAGTCTATAAAAAGGAAAAGGAAAAGGTGAAGTGCCTCCCACCCACTCAAGGTTCACCTTGTTTTCCGGATCATCCGGGACGGGATAGGACCTAGGATTCTTTCCATCATGGCTAGATGCTCTCTATTGTCGTGGGTCTGGAAAACAAAGACAGAAGTGGGGATGAGGAAAGGGGATGCAAGGAAGACAGAATGTGGAGGGGAGTGAAGGAATGAAAAGAAGCAGGCCCTCTTCAGACTATCAATCGGGAGAAAACCAGATGGTAAGATAGCCACTATTTACCTGGAAGAGAGTGAAACCAACATAGTATTCAAAGATGATGCATCCTATGCTCCAAACGTCACAAGGCTGAGACCAGCCCAATTCTGGGGGAGAATGAGAGCAAAGTGTCCTCAGTGCTTTATCCCTTAATCCCCACCTCACACACACCTGGGCCACCCGGCCCTCTCTTACCAAGGATGACCTCTGGAGCTCGATAATGGCGAGTGGAGACAATGGTACTATGGTGCTCATGGTCAAAGGTGGCACTGCCAAAATCTACCACCCGTACAGCTGTGCTCTTCACACTGCGCTCATCACGCTTCTAAAATCAAATCAGGAAGAGAATGAATTTTCTTTCTCCAAAGCAAGATCTATCACTATTCTCTAAAGTGCTTCTGGCCTCCTGCCTGCCCCCACATATCCTGGAAAATCACCACTTCACAGTCACTCCAGATTCAAAGAGTATTTTGGTAGAGGAAAAAGGAATTTAGAAATTATTACAGCATAAAGGGCAAGTCTACATGCACCTGATAACTATACCCAAACAACTGGCATATGCATCTAAAAGAGGCAAAAAAATCTAAGCAATGAACCTCAAAAAAATTTTTATTAATAAAATTATGAGTTCTTTTAGCTAATTTTAAAATCTAATTTAACTTAAACACTCTTTAAATTTTCTTTAATATATTCTAATCCTCTAGCTTTACTCAGACAGGAAGGAAAAAAAGAAATGTAAAGGGCAAAGAGGGCCAAGCAAACAGCAAAGTGGCACAGCTGCCAACTCCTAATGTCCACAGGTGAGATCCTGCCCACCTTACCTTCTCTAAGTTGTAGGTGAGCTCATAGTCTGAATTCACAAACAGGATGTTTTCAGGTTTGAGGTCCGTATGTGTCAGCTTGTTATCATGGAGGACTGCAGGGGAGAAGTCCAGGTCAGGTTCAGTTCAAGTGGCCACGGTTTACCAGCTAGCACCAGTGAGCCCCAGGCTTGGTCACCTAGATCAAACCTGGCGAGGAGGCAGGTCGTATCGACCAGGACTGCTTTCTGTTCTACATCCAAATGAAATGCCTGGTCTAAGAAGCCTTACTCTCCCTAACACATGGCTGTAATTTGGAAATGATATTAAAAAAAAAAGCCCCACAGACTGTCTCTCTAGTTTCCACTGGGTAAAAACCCAGCTGATACTCTGGGAGGTCTCTGAGGCTGTAAATCATGCAAGAGGAAATTTCCCATCTTGCTCCTATGGACCTACTATTAGAATTAAACTGTCAAATAGAGAGGTATGGCCTGTGATTTAGTCATGCAACTGTTTTCAAATGTAATATTAATAAATTAATTAAATCTGTATTTAACTAGCTTAAAAATTATTCAATGTTGTTGTTATGTGTTGTTGAGTCGCCTATAGTAACTCTATGTGCAACAGCCCTATACCCTGATCTTTCCTGTGCCAATCTTATTGTCTCTGACACACTTACCCCCATTACCTCATTCACTGAATCAATCCTCCTCAATCAGAGTTTTCCTCTCCTTTGCTGTCCCTCCAACCTCCTAAGCATGACCTCCCTCTCCAAGGACTGGTCCTCCCTTGCAACATGTCCAAAGTATGTCAAATGAAGTTTCAGAATCCTTGCCTCTAAGGAACAGCCTGGCCTCACTCTCTCTAGGACAAACTTGTTTGTTCTTTTTGCAGTCCATGGAATATTCAGTACTCTTCTCCAGCACCACACCTCAAAAGCATCTATACTCCTTCTATCATCCCTACTCATTGTCTGGCTTTCTGGTGCATAGTAAATAACTGCAAAGACTATGGCCTGGATTAAGCACACCTTAGTCTCCAGACTGACATCGTTGTTCTTCAGTAATTTGGAAAAGTCTCTGACAGCCAACTTTCCCATTGCAATTTGTCTTTTAATTTCCCGACTGCTGGTACCAAAAATGTTGATTGTTGAGTAGAAAATGCAAATATAATGAGGTTTTTTTTTTGCTTTTGAAAAACAGCAAGCAAAGCAAGCATCTAACTTTCTTTTCTAAAATGATGACAGAAAAAAGACAACTACATAGTATCTGTTGGGATATATTGTCAAATTGTCTGATATAAATTTCAAGCTTTGAACTGCAACTAGGATATGCTTTCTAATCCTTAGAAATTTTACCTTTGATTAGCATCCTTATGAAAGTGTTGATTGA